ATATATATATATATATATATATATATATATATATATATATATATATATATATATATATATATATATATATATAAATTCACAAGAACACTCCCAGAAATTAGAGATTTTACATAAATATTCCTAAATTTGTTTATTTACACCATTACTCCCACATTTCTCTTTTATTTACGTCGTTACTCCGCGATTGCTTCATCATCAGTGTTTCTCGGGTGCCTCTTTTTATACGGGGTTTTTCATCTTTTTTTTATTGAATTCGAATTAAATTAATATGAACAGACTTGATATTAATCATTAAAAAGATTTAAGAAGTTTGAAATCTCAATTTTTTAAAAAGTGATGGGAAATAAGGACAATAATTAGGCTTACTAAGACGTGAGAAAGACGGTGGAGAAAATAAGTTGAAGTGAATTTAGTATATTAGAGTGGAAAAAATACATGTCTGCATTTTAACTGTTCACTTAACGCAAAAATGACACATCCAAGTAACACTAATGATCACTACCAAATTTGGGAGTAACAGCGTAAATTAAAGAGAAATGTGAGAGTAATGATGTGAATAAACAAATTTAGGAGTATATATGTAAAATCTTTAATTTCTGGGAGTATTCTTGCCAATTTTGCCATATATATATATATATTCCAAAATGGAAGCTAAGTAACCAACTAATTTTTTTACAGGCAAACTACTCCATGCTGGTACAACCACCATTGTAATTTAAACAATTGAACGAGTACTACTTGTTTTATTAATCATATTTTCTACAAACTGATTTTCTGATTTCTTTGGACTACGGAGTATTATTATGTCAATGAGGTTTGTGAAGTCTCGTGCTCTTGTACATCATAAAATTAAAAAAATGTATAATGAATTAGTCAGGCATATAGTAAATTAAAATAATAAGAAGAATTTATCTATATAGTACGAAAACATAGTAAGTTTTTATGTTTTAATTTCTCAATTTACTAATATAGTACCGGCATTCAGTGTCTATTGGGCATTGTTTAAGTAAATATCTACCGTCGCTAGACATTTTTCAAAAGAATTGTCTACTGTCACTGGACACTATTCCTGCCACTAGACATTGTTCAATTATTATTTTCAGAATAAAAAATTTTAAGTACTACATTGGGAAAAGATTTTAATCCCGCCACTAGACATTGTTTAAGTATTATTCCTCAATACAATTTTCCTATTAACACCTAGATAACATTTTTAAAACACTAAAGATAAATGCCAAAAATAATGGCAAATAAAATATTTATCTAGTTCGACTCAAATCTCAGCTAGGAGTGGGCGTGAAATCCGTTCCCGTTGGACCTTTCCGAAAAATCCCGGATCGGTTTTGTAATTGTACCGATATATTGGGACGAATTTTTTTTATATCCCGAACTCGTTCCGTCCCAATATCAAATGGGACATGAGCGGGACAACTTAAATTTATACTGATCCGTCTCGTTGTCCCGTATCATCTACTTTACTAATATATAATACTAATTCTACTCCAAAATCTAAATACACTCATTATTTAATTAATTAGTTATTAAATTAAGTTAACTGCATAGACTTGAAATTTATTTGGACCCGTTCCACTCATTATTTTTTTGTTCGATGGCTGGATATTTCTTTTTTTTATTGAAATGTCACCCTCTCCCTCTTCTTATATTTGCTATTGGGACAAAGTAAGACGACCCGAATCCATTCCGATTTGTTCCGATCTCGTATTTTATGGGACAGACCGGAATAAGATTGTAATCTGATCTGAACCGTTCCAGACCGTTTATATATAACGGGACAAGGCGTGGGACAAACTAAAACCCGGACCGTCCCGATCCGTGTCCACCCCTAATCTCAGCTCTTTAAATCACTTGAGTAGTGATGTTCAATTTTAAATTATATCGGGAAAAATCTATAAAATATCCTAATGTTACTCTCTTCGTTGAAATGAATGAACTGATGATAGATGTTTAGTATTTGGTAAGTGTCTATTCTGCACATGCAGTTCCCTAAATGAACTCCATGTGCACATATAGGGAATGACAAATTAAAACACTCGTATTTAGTATTTGTTAAAAAGTGAGTTGAATGTTAGAAGAAATTAGAAAAGTTGAAGAAAATGGATGAAGTAAAAAAAGATTGAAATTAAAAGAGTTTTAAAAAACTCAAATGAGTAAAAAGAAACTTGAGAGATTGAAAGACTATAAGATTGAATTGCAGGTTGCACTCGGAAGGCTCACATCTTGGGGTAGAACCGTTTTTTGTAGTAAAATTTGTTCCATCTAGGACCAAAACATATGTGTTTTCCCTAGATAGGAGTGGTATGTTTGTTTCCCTTGTTTAGGAGTTAAACTATACTGCCCACCCAAAAATACCCCTCAACCCACGCCACCCGTTTTTTTCTCATTTCTAAGTGATAATGATTAGGAATTAACTCCCCATTATTTTAGTTAACTGTTACCCTTTTTTTTAGCAAACCATTACTTCCAGTTCTACGGCTCTTCCCTCTCCTTCAGCCATACTCTCTGCCGCATATCTCCTCTCCCAGCCGTCTCTAACTCTCTCTCCCCCCTTCCCCTCACAATATGTTTTCTTCATTATTGCTTTCTGTATCCAATTTTGCAACTGGCACACCCGCGAGCATCCACTGTCTCTTGCAATTTGATGGCGATTGGGACGCTAATAGTGTTTTCTCTTACACACATGCATATGAGATTGACATTCCTATTCACGCTCCATACCAAGCCCTGCTGGAGATGATTCGTAATACGGTCCCGTCTTCTTATGGAAATTCTGTTTTTATAATTTCGTATATGTCTAATTCATGTGCAAGTCATGTCGCCATTGATGATGATGCGAGCCTTCATGCCTACCTTCGTTTGAAGAGCACCTATCCGTCGCTGCGTGATTTCCCTTTGTGCGTTGAATTATGTGATTTTGCAGAAAGGAGTGTTTCAAATGGGGGGTCAGTTCCTTGTGATGTTCCATAGATTTTTCTTGGCTATCATTCTGACTTAAACTCAGATGCCCAGGAAGAAACTGAATCGGACGCATCGGTTCGTCATGCTCTACAACATGAAACCATGCAAACTCATTCTGAAGACAATATATCATCTCATTATGCCTTGTCTATGGAGTCTTTATTTGACACATATCATGGCGATGAGTCCTCAGTTCGTAATGACCATAATGGGGAATTGGTTTGCTGCAACTCTCCTGGATCCGACCCCTCTGGTTTTGTTATGTCCCAGCAAGATATTGACTCTCTAAAGGAGATGCGTGTTACTTCTCGGTTTGATCCAACCAGGATAGCCGTTGATGCCATATATGCTAGCAAAATGGATCTCGACTTTCATTTGAAGATGCTAGCAATTTCCAACTGTTTCCAGTACCGCACCAGGACGTCAAAAAAATCTGAGCTCCATGTTGTGTGTGTGGACTTCCCTCGGTGCAAATGGGCTGTTCGGGCGGTGCGTTTACCAGGCGTTGACATGTTCCAGATACGTAGGTGTGTATTTATTTTTTCTATCATATAGTGCTGATTTTTACAATCTCTGTGTGTTCCTCAAGTGATCACAGAAGACTTTAATGACTTAAGCTCTACTTGCATAATGCCTCCACTGCATATTCTTTACACTGCATAACCTCTAAACTGCATAATGTCTACACTGCATATTGTCTTCAGGAGAAAAGTGTAATGTGCATAATATTTACACACCATAATGTCTATTCTCCATAATGTCATAAATTCAATACTGCATTTTGTCTATTTCGCAGGGCGTCTAAACTGCATAATGTCTTCACTAATTACGTTTAATGTGCATAATTTATACACTGCATAATGTCTATAACGCATAATGTCCATGTTCAAAATGTCCACACCGCATAATGTCTACACTGCGGGATGTTTATACGAATAATGTTATAACACCATACCTTTCACTAAAGGTCATGAATTCTGACCTTAATGTCTTACAGGTACAATCGTGACCACCAATGCCCAATTGACGTTCGCCAAGGCACAACACGTCAGGCAACTTATCACATCGTTGCCGAGCTAGTAANTGTCTTCACTAATTACGTTTAATGTGCATAATTTATACACTGCATAATGTCTATAACGCATAATGTCCATGTTCAAAATGTCCACACCGCATAATGTCTACACTGCGGGATGTTTATACGAATAATGTTATAACACCATACCTTTCACTAAAGGTCATGAATTCTGACCTTAATGTCTTACAGGTACAATCGTGACCACCAATGCCCAATTGACGTTCGCCAAGGCACAACACGTCAGGCAACTTATCACATCGTTGCCGAGCTAGTAAAACACAACTTTTGTGACGCAACAATGAAGCCGTATCCTCCCAACTCAATTGTTACCGACATGCGTAGGGATCATGGGATCGCAATGACTTACAAGAAGGCATGGTTTGCGAAAGAGAAGGCATTGAAAATTTGTTTTGGAACACCAGAGGAATCATATGCATCCCTGCCATCGATGTGTTTTATGCTCCGTTAGGCTAATCCTGGTTCTTTGATCCAACTCACCACGACACCAAATCACTTTTTTAAGTATCTTTTCATTTCTCTCGCAGCTTGGAGGGATGGATGGCCATATTGTGTTCCTGTCCTAATCATCGATGGGTCCTTTATGAAATCATATTACAAGGGGACACTCCTAACTGCAGTTGCACGTGATGGGAATAATCAGATTTTTCCACTAGCATTTGGCATATGCGACGCAGAGAACGATGAGAATTGGCACGGGTTTCTATCTAGAGTAAAGCAAGCCCTTAAACACCGCCCAGTGGAGTATATAGTCTCGGACAGGCATGATGGAATTATCAAGGCTGTGAAATTTGTCTTTCCTAAAGCGGGTCATGGCCATTGCATATTCCACATTCTCGGGAATATTAAGTCTAATTTCAACGGCTCCGAGAAGTCATTATCCTAGAAATTTTATGGTGCCGCAAGGGCAGCTTCTGAAGTAGAGTGTGACCGATTCTTGCGATATCTCAGCAGCGATGACCCAAGGATCATTGGATACCTCAAAGCAATCAGCAAAGAAAAGTGGGCAAGATCGTGCTCAAATAACCGTTTTTCAATAATGACCTCTAATCTTGCTGAGTCGATGAACAATGTTGATGCTATCCCACGTGAATATCCAATCTCACAACTTGTTGATTTCCTAGTGGGGAGGATGCAAGTTTGGTTCCATAAACGACGAGAGCTCGCCAATTCAACGTCATCTATATAGACAAAATTTTACGAAGCGGAACTCAAGGAACTACACGCCGCTTCAGCAGTCATGGAAGTAAGTCATTTTTTAAATAAATATCACATGTACTTCTACCATGGTCATCATTAACATTCAACACCTGCAGTCATTATAATACTTTCAGGTCATTACTTACCTCTCGGAGAGGTCATTAAACACACAAATCTCACATCAGTACACGTACCGACCATTCTCCACCAGCAAAGTCTTTCAAGGCTTTCAAATGCACTTCAATCCGTGGACATTACGTGTGCTGCATCATTATCCAATGTCAAAACACCAACCTGAACGAAAATATTTGAATCCCTCACTTGTCATTATACGTATACCCCATCCCATTACGTAACAGCGTTCTAAACTGATTTCCTAGCATTTTTAAACTGATGGCGTTTACAATTCGCAGGTTAGACCAGCTTGTGCATTTGAGTTCCTGGTATTTGACAAGAACGGCCGGTCGTTCGTGGTGAATTTTCAGAACCGGTCATGCACGTGCTGTGAATTCCAGTTGGACCATTTCGTATGTGTGCATGCAGTTGCTGCTACTCGTTCTCGGCACGGTTTGTCGTGCTACGACTACACATCATCATTCTACACTGCTGCTTCTTGGAGGGCTACATATAGTGGGATCATACACCCAATTCCTTCTAAAGATTCGTGGGCTGTACCAGATGACGTCACTCACACTCTTTGCCTTCCACCATCTTGCTCCAAACGACCACCAGGAAGACCAAAGAAGCGCAGGATCCCTTCAAAAGGTGAACATGGGAAGCGGCAAACATGCTCACGATGCAAATCATCATGACATAATCGAAAGACGTGTTCGAATCCCATTGCTTTAAGCCGTGCTTGACTTCTTTCATGAACATGTGTGCAACCCCCAATTTCTTATTCATTATTTACTCTTCTCTAAACATTTATTCATTCATTATAAAATTTGAAGGTTCAGATAATGTTTAAACATTCATGAAAGCATTCTTTTGCGAGAATTTGTTGCTCGCACATTTCCATTATGTATTGTTCCTTGACATTTACTGATTCATTATACACATTTATACCTTATCCAGTTTTAAATTTGTATTGGAAAACGGTTCCATTCCCCCTTGTTCATTTCATGTACAATAATGACTAAACTCACAAATCTGGAAATGACTGCTTGAAACAGTGACCAAAAATTCACTACACAGCACCATACTCACTACCTAAAACAGACATTCTCACAAATGACCAAAAGCATTCAAACACATCATAATCCATTTCAGTAGTCATTACCCTACACTTCACCTTAATTAATGAGCACAAAGAAAAACACTCTTCCGCAACAAACTGCTCAATGACAAAAACTCTGACAACCCAAACACAATTCATCCATTTAATGCTCCACTAAACAGTATATTCCGCCGGGTCTGCATCGCTTTCACCAAAAAAACCAACAAAACAACATGACTTATACCACGCACATTAATCACACCCTATTCAATGACGAAAAACTAAACAAACCGTGAGCAAAATAAACTTAAACTTAAACTACCAAACGCTTCAAGTCATTAAACATAAGTCAATCATAATGACTGTAAACACCCAACTCAGTAACACCGCTCAAAACAGAAAAAAGGGCAATTTAAGAAGAGGTCTCCACAATACACGCACAAAATAAACCAACCCGACTGAAGGCAGTTCCCAACAAAAAAAATCATTCCATGAGTCCTACAATGCAGAATACGCCAACAACTCCGTTGTCATTTTCTTACGATATGCAGNCAACCAAATTCTCGTTTAAACTGAAAAAAAGTTGAGACGCTGGATAATCATGCAGATCCTACACTCAAAACACGCAGTGTAAAATCAGACATTTAGATACGAGAACATAAACATATACAATTTGCACAATACACACCTCAATAATTTGAGAAGCAGTCTCAAACTTGTCACGGAACCCACCAGCCACTTCTCCAATAACCTTCAAAGGCAAGGTTTTTATTCAAAAAAAAATACATAATATACTTCACATAAAGAAACCACTAGAAAACATCATAACGTTTACTTACAGTTCCATTCCCACTTCCAGATCCTCCAGCACACACGTCTTTACTTATGGATGGCCTTACAAGTTCCGCATCATCCATACGCTGAACAACATCCGCTTGCTCTTCCACTACCCTTTCATCAGGATGCACATCATCTGTTGTCTTTTCATTTGCCAAATTCATTGACTTACTACACTCTGAACCCTTGCCTGAATCCAATTTCAGCCCCAAACCCTCAACTGCCTTCCTCCATCGCCCATCAACCTCTTGTGTGTTTACGTCATTCAACAAATCTTCAACATCATTATCAGAAACACCAAGTTGGGTTCCTATATCAGCATCCCTAATAATGTCCTCCTCCCAAATCATATCCTCCTGCCCATTGCCTGGATCATCTCTCCTCTCTTGACTCTCTATACCCAAATCGAAGCTCGGCATTCCATTCTCTTCTCTTTTATCTCCTCTCTTTTTCTGCTGTCGCTTAGCCATTTTTTTACCTAATAATACCCTTTTCAGTAGCCGGCTTTGTTCATTCAGTGTTATTCGCAGTTTAGTCACTTCCACTCGTAGTTTGTTATTTCTCTTCTCCATGTGCACTATGGCGGTTAGGACATCACGCAATGAAGGTTCATTTTCACCTCTCCCCTCACCCAATACATCCTCCACCACAGTTGGGTTCTGCTTTCGAGGCATGTCTGCGTTTCCTGATTTCTTCTCACTTCTCTTCACCCTTGTTGTTTTTTTACCCACAGGACCTTTCACCTGCATTCCGTCTTCGTTCTGCACGCCATCAGCACATGCAGTCACAGGCCCCCAATGAAACTTACCCTTTAAAGACCTACGGCCAGCTCCATATTCTTCATTAACAGCTTCTCCACAAGCATTTGAACTGCTACCATTACTTGCACCTCCCACACTTAGCAATCTTTCAAAGTTTCCCATGCCACGCTCCATGGGGGTTGCAACCATCTCCTTCCAGTTGACACTTTCCTATATACATTAAAAGAAACTCAGGTACATGTAAGAGAAATTAATGTCTTGAAATTAATAAAATATAGTTCTTTTAGGCACATTACACCTGGTTTTCCAAAGATTGAATTCTCCAACACATCATGTTTAGGCCGCACCCCAGTCTCCCAACGCAATGCTCTCGGACACAAGGATCCACTGCCCTTCCCAATTGCGCAAATTCCATTCTCCATCAAACGGGGGAACGTTTCAAACGACCAAATTTGCAAGGGGAAAAAAAATCCGGGGAATGTAAAACGACCATTACCCCCCGTGTTGAGGATCGAAGAACACTTGCCCATGCTCTCCACCACATCCTTCCACAGGTGCTCTCCCCATTCAAAGTCATTAAACAGCTCCAAGTCATTAACCAAATGCATGTACAGTGCTGGGATCCTTGTCCTCCCCTGGTTCCCTACGACATGGCAGCACACAAGGTAAAGCAGAGCCAATTTCACTACATCCATAGGCTTCTTACCTCTAATCCCACGTACATTCTTGAACACATGCTCCACATCCTGACGTGTTATGCTCATTTTCCCTCCAAAATACCTCATGCTTATGTCATTAGGCTCATTCATGTCAATACCCACAAACTCGGTTTTTTTCCCAAACTTCATCCCGGTTATCAACGCAAAGTTTGATTTCTTGAACTCCACTACTCGGTCACCAATGTGAAATTTTAGCCTGTCCACATCTCCAGTCCGCTTCATTGGTTGCACATAATTCAGTGCCAACAAAATCATCAACTGACCCGTCAACCACTTAATTCCACCTAGGTTGAAGAAGTCACCAAATGCTGATTTCTTTAATTCTAACAGATCTGTATCACTGACCACTCCCTCCACAATGTTTGCTCCAACCCATACATTGCAAAAACATGTAACTTTCACTCCAGTCTTCCCAACCAAAAGTCCTTCATCGCACATCCTTTTGTATACCTGTGTTGCATTACCAAAACATTACGTCAAACATACCTCACACCATATACAAACAAAAAAAACGTCACGACAGATAAGGTCATTAAGGTGATTAATGACCCACTAAACATGTACACTATTCCAACAAACCCACATTCAATAAGCCAGACCAGGGCATATTTCATTATAAAATTAAAATACCTATATCATGCTCTATAGATCAAGACACCTACTACAATGAAGCCACCACCCCACAACACATAATCTCACTCCAATGACTCAAGCCACAGTCAATAACATACACACCTTTCTGCACCCTGTACATTACAAGATTAATGACCAAAATTCTTAACCATTAACAAGAATAACTACTGCATATGAGGAACCAGCAGTACCCACACACAAAAACACAAGAGTGAATTACAGCCCTCACATAGCAAAGGTCATTATAATCTCCAATGTAGCATAAACACCCAAATCTGAAATGTAATGTTAGGTATTCAACTTACAATTAAACAACCATTATAACACCCCACGGTCACAGTCCTTTCCTCAAAAAACAAAAGGGGTAGATCTAAAGTGATTAAGAAATACACATTCCACTGATGAATATGATTAATGTCAAATTCTGAGAAACATTAATATGATTAATGACTTATATAAAAGGTCAGTATGCACACACACAAAAACAAAAAAATCAACCAACGCACAGCATAGGTATTTAACATGCAATAGCAAAAAATATATATTTTCTGCACAAGACCCCTACCCACCATCACTTAACCCAGATATTACCCAACCCACTATCAATTTGCTGTCTAATATAAAACCACAAATCTAACATGTAATGTTAGGTTGTCAAGTAATGTATTAACAGCGCTTAACACGCCTTAAATCCAAAGTCTTTACAAAAAACAACTCTCATTATTCTACCGATTCCCAAACTTTAAACAGGAATTACTCAAAAGTATTCATTTATATAGACACTAATTACCCATTTCCTCAGTCATTAATCCAGGTAATTACACACAACACCTCAGCTGCGTCAACCAATTCCCAAATTCGTAACACCTACCACTCCAGGACATTATTCAGTCAATAAATCAGACGATTACTCATACATTACTAAGTCATTACTCACGGTCACAAGCACCTAAATTTTCCCACAAACAGAAACACTTAACAAACACAGTCATTAATCAGGCGTTTCCTCGGACACTAAAAAAACATTATCCCAAGACACTTCACCCAACATCTCACATGCATCAAGCTCTTCCAATAATAAAACCACAAATTACCCGCAGTCATTACATCAAACATCAAACATGCATCAACAAATTGCCCAAAATTAGGTCAATTTCATACAAATTAACAGACACCTGAAGCAAAATGACTCACAAAAGACTCACCCGCCCAGTTGTTGTCTTCATTAACTTCGTAGTCTTTATAATTGGGATTTCATCGACAAAATCGTCGTCATCATCTACTGCCGCTCTGGTAGTCATTCTCCTCGCACTCGCGCTTCTGGTCGTCATCGTTTTCTCTCAGAAATTATTAGTGAACCGTATCTCAAACGGAAATTAAATTGGTTGAACTCTGCTAAAGACTCTCGGCCAGCATGCAATAGGAGTATAGTTCTACATGGTAACTCTAGCGCCCAATCAGAAACCAAAACCGTGCCTTTTTCTTCGCGATTCCCCGTAATCCGCCGTCCCCATTTTTAAATAATTAAAAGACTAATGGAAGGGTATTTTGGATTATTCCCTTGGCCGAAAACTAATAAGCTTAGGAGGACTCCTATTTACGGAAAACGAGTACCTTTAGCTCCTATTTCAGTAATTTACTCTTTTTTGTACTACTTCATGATCACAAGTTACGAGGGTGGTCCATTGACTTTTTCTTTTAATGTTAAAATTATCCATGCACATTGATGTGAATTCGGAAAGTAAACTTTCGGATATGATCATACATGTGGGTGCACCTTACAAAAGTAGGTCCAACACATGTGGGATTAATGTTTATTTGTGTTTTTATGATATTATACAAGCAAGTATCCCAGGGCAAATCCAAGAAGACGACGAAAGCAATCCTCATAGAAATTAGAGCTTATTGAAATTTCGTGGGAAGTAAACCAATAACCAATCTAAACAACTTTATAGATCACACAAAACAAACAACACGTGCAGGTGTGGCACAAAGATGCTACGTCAAAAATGACAGTGAGATATGACTTGCAGAGTATTGTAACATCTTCTGTGTTATGATAGAATTGAAGAAAGTAGTAAAAAACATAGCAATATTTTTACATAGAGCAAACTCTCCTACTCTACAGGGCCCACATTCATGTAAGAGTCCTTCACTAAACCAACTTAATAGATTATGACAATCACAAACAAAAGAATGCATCTTCTTTATGTTTATGACAAAATCTACCTTATGTATCGCTTTTAACTCAAATCTTGTTTGAATCCTATTCAATGGCGTGTTATAGCTTCCTCAAAACCTTCTCCAAGGACATGCTTGCATCCCTTCTTCATATCAACAAGATATTCAAATTTTGCACAAGATGACGAGCATGAATGTCATAGGATGTGAATCAGTTCCTCCAACACCTTAGCTTCGAGGTTTCTGTGATGAAACCAAGCTTCAAAACATCACTCAAAGATATGGACAAATGGCATGATCTCTTTTTATATGATGAACTCTTTCAATGCAACTTCTCAGATTTTCTCTCGTGTATGTAGTTCATCAATCAATGAGACTAGGCGCATCTTATATAGGGAATGACAAATTAAAACCCTAGTGGAGTTCATTTAGGGAACTTCATGTGCAGCCAGTCTTCTTGGATAGCAAGTGTCCTAACACATTCATATTTCCTTTAATTTGCATATGAGATAAAGAAGCTTTCATGAACCATAAGGCATCATTTTAGAATGCGATGTACTCCACAAAATAAACGCAAGCTTGAATTTCAGGACTCCTCAACTGTGAAAGATTCCTTCACGGTATGATGACGGACCAAGTGATGTAGCACATGCTTCAACAACAGGATGACGGACAGGAAGCTACAGCTTTATTTTAACACAAAATGACAAAAACAAAACCTCTAAGACCTATTCATTTGTAAAAGTTACATATATTCATTGACCTAAATACTCATCTAAAATTTACTCATTAAGAGTAAATTTTAAATAACTCCTAGTTTGGGGTTGTTCTTGAACTGTTTTTCTCACTTAGGTGGTGAATGTAATTCTTTTTCTTTGTTTTACTATTTTTTTGGCTTGGCATTTTCTAAATGTATTCTTCATGTGCATATGTAACTACATTACATCGTACACATAGAGAACCATTGGAAAATGTTGTTGAAACTTGTATGGATTAAAGGAAATTAAATGCATACACTATTGAGGGTAGGGTTTCAGGAATGAGTTATAATGGAGTAAATATGACTATATATAATGGGGAAATGCTAGCAATCTGTTGTTGCATCATAGAAAATTAAATATTATGTTGGATGTGCTTATTATATGTATGTATATATGTTAATGGGTGTAATTTTTTTCTTTTGCATTGTTTTGCATCCAACCTTTTCATTTGTTGCCTAGTAATACACATGATGGATCAAAATTAGATTGATATGTCCCAGACGTCAACTGAGTTTTTTCCAAGTTTGGAAGAGTTTATTTGCTTCGTAGGAAAACATTCAAAAGAGGAAGAAAAGAAATATTGCCCCTTTAACTTACTCCCTCCGTCCCCCAATTTTTTCCACTTTAAAATGGACACAAATACCATGAAAAGTAAGATTAGGTGCCAAATTGACTAAAATGCCCTTAAATTATTACTTTTGGGGGATGGGGTGAAATGATGGTCTGACATCCAAGATCCAAAAGAAAAAGAACAAAAAAAAAGCAAAGTACTTTCTTTGAGATTTGAGTGTAGGAAACAAGAAAAAAATCTTAGTCAACAATCAAGTTCTCCATGGAAGCTATTAGAGTATTCTCGCTTGTGGACAGCAAACAATAGTTGCCACTTCCGGTGGATTAGCATCCTCAGAGCTTCCAGTAAGATAGCATTGTTGTCAATGCACGGTGGGAAGATAAATTGGGAGGCAGAGGATATTTTACACAGTGGTCTTGGGATGATGAGGCAATTCGTTAGCATAATACATGTGTGGAGCATGTTCACTTCTGTGGGAGGAGGGAGTAAATGGTGTAGAGAGTATTTAAATTGTAAGGATATATATGGAAATCCATTAATTTTTTATTACCAAAGTAGTATAATGAAGGAAGACATTGTTTCCCATTAATTATTTCCATTATGGTTCGTTTGTTGAAATTTTAAGGCCATGGTGTTGACTTAGGCAGAGAGAAATGATTGAGCTTAATGTTAAACCGATGTGGGTTGATGTTTGCGGATTACCACAACAACCGGGGTACCGAGTGTGGATACTACACTATGCAATTTATGTGGCTCGTCATTAGTTTGTGTGCACAAGCATTCATACCAATAAGCGATGAAAGTTCGCTTTAGAATGTTTTTGTAACTAAAATGTTTGTTTTATGATATACAGTATAACCATTTGGCTTCTTATTTATGAATATTTTAGATTTAGTCTAAGTGTTATGGTTATTGTGGAAGATATATGTATTTTATCATTTAAGCTTTATATTCACGTTATTGTTGTTGTTGTAGGTTTTTGGCTCTATTAAGGCATACACGTATGAACAAATTGATGAGATTATAGAGTTCTGGGCTTGTGGATTCATTGATGATTTAGTTTAAATTGATCCCTTGGATATAACGGTTATGTTTCATTTGTATGTTTGATTGTATGTCATTTATTAGTAGTTGTTTTGTACTTATATACGTACGCTTGTAGTTAAACGCATGTATCGTTAGTTGAAGTAAACTAACGATGCAAAAAATCTTGTTTATGTTTCACGCTATTCTGTAAATTAAATTGTGTTGTGAAAATCTTGTTCATGTTTGTGAAATATTATTCAGCCACTGTAAAAAACAACCTATTACATCAGTTACAACTGATGCAAAAAATTTTCCCAATTTTGACACTAAGTTCCTGAAAGGCCTTTTGCATCGATTATTTAAAAATAACCGATGCAAAAGGTCTTACCACAGCACAAAATTTAGGCACAAAAAAGGTCTTTTGCATTGATTAAATAATCGATGCAAAAAGTTTTTGCTCAATCACATCGCTGCCTGTTGCATCAGTAAAGAATCGATAGAAAAGGTCAAAAATAATTGATTCAAAAAAACAATTCCATAGTAGTCCATGGAACATGACTTATTCGGGTCAATGAAATTGACGTGCCTCTAAAACGCCTCCCTTAGAGCAAGAACCACGTTCGCTAGCTAGGAATATTGTACCTTCTTGACATGTCCAATAGCCAATAGAGTCTTGATTTCTTCCTTGACAAACTCTTTGAATTTCATGGACAATATACATCTTATACAGATTTACGTGCTTTACAAAATCAAAAAATAACTGCAAATAACAAACTAGACCAAATCAAATCCTCAATTTGGTATTTTGAGAGCAATATGAGGTAATTTTACATAATGAAAACTTCTAGCCTAACAGATATATTTATTAATTTTAAATGTAAACTTTATTTCTATTTTCTTATCGACTAATACGGATTTTGAATATGTAGTTCCAATTTTGTTGTGTACAAAATTGTACTTTATTTCATTTTTAATTTTTTATAGATAAACTTGCAAATACTAAGTACAAAGTATTTAAAATACTATTTTTATAAATCTAGAATTGTTAAAATTGTACTATACTCTTAGAAATAAAATTTATTATCTTTCACATAGTTTTAATGTTTGTCACTCTATTATCTTTCACATACTTGTCATGATTTGGATTTTCCTAATGCAGAAAAAGAAAAAAGACAATAAGGAGTCTACATATTCATATTATTCACTTCATGAGATTGGGGTATAAAAGGAAATACTTTACTGAAAATTATGTATTTTATCTCATGAATCACAATCTAATAAAGGTAATAGCTTCACCAGCCACATAAAAGAAAAACTAGCTAGATAAAAGAAAATAGGTGTTTATTATTTAAAACTCTATATAAGGGTGTGTGTGTCTACATATATATATATATATATATATATATATATATATATATATATATATATATATATATATATATATGAACGTTCTAGACTAATTCAAGAATTACTTTCACTCACCGTCAGTTCATCACAGATTTCTCTAGAAGGAATATGAACGCATTATTCAAAACTAAGGCTACGGATTTCGTAAGATATTCTTCATCACTTAATAGCATAAAAAAGAAACAAAACATGATCTTTCAAAAAAGAGACAAAAATGAAAATAAACTTCCAAAAAACGAAAAAAACCTGAAAAACACAGCAAAAAATGTCAAAAATTGAAAAGAAAACAAAAAAAAGCAAAAAGAAAACACCAAAAGAAAATGGAAAAACAAAAACAGAAAACAAATCATCAAAAAAACAGGGAAAAAAACATGATAAAGAAAAACAAAACAGCAAAAAAAAAGTAGCATAGA